CCGGAAGGTACCAAGACCTAACAGAAACAAATTTAGTGTCAACTTCACAAATAATATAGGATGGTCTTAGGTTTTTGATTCTATGAGCTGACGGTGTGCACCAGTTTATTAACTTTACAGTTTACCCTTTCTCTTTGCACTTTTATGTTCCGTCGTATGACTTTGGACATTTATCGGTATTTGTGCATCCAAATTTCTTGTTTTTTGCTTTGAGCGTTCCTGATGCTGGTGGATCCAGAGGAACGATTTGGACGCAAACAGTTTTTATAGTGTTATTTTCATTTAGTATACCCATGTATATATATATTTTATAGACTTTGTACTTGATCGGAAGAGTGTGTGTTTCATATTGTTTTACTATACTGTACTATCAACTATAAAAACGTTTTTGATTGGCGTCTTTGATATAATTGTACGTTTGTTTGATTTGTTTAAGTCAGTTGTATTGTATATGTATGATCTATGTTTACACAGTTTTGACTGCTGAATTCTAATTTTGTCACGTCAACCAATTGTTTGGGCCTATGATGAGTTTATTTACGAAAGTTTGTAAATATGGAGGAACTATAAACAACTGTCATACAAGTGGGAGGTTTAACCAGCTATAAACCCCGACATGTTTTCCAGGAAAATATCTGTACCAAGTCAGGAATATGACACATGTTTCCTGCCGTTCCGTTAGTTGATATATATGATTTATGGACTTCCCCCATTTTGAATTAACCTTGGAGTTCGGTATTTTTGTTACACATTTTCTTCAGGACTGTGGTGGACCTGGAACTTCAGGTCCACAAACTGCCAACAGTATTATCATTTCCTCTGAACATGACAGTGGCGAGGGATCCATACAGAAATCACTTACTGAAAGAAGAGGTTAACAAACATCTAAAGAAAGGAGCTATAAAAGTGTGATATCTCCTCTGAGACCAGGTGCCTATTCCCGTATTTTTCTTGTCCCCCGAAAAATAGGAGTATGAGACCTGTAGTAGACCTTCCCTTTCTGAATTGTCATCTGATAGTGCCTCATTTCAAGATGGAGACCAACAGATCGATCAAGGGTTCCATTCATTTGGGCCTAGTTTTCCCCCAGAGAAAATAATTACTCTTTTCGATCCATTGAATCAGTTTTTTCAGGGATAAGTTGTACCATCTCGCAAATTTTAAAACTGGTTGGGTATCTGATTTCCTAATTCCTAAAATGACGTTATTCCCATGGGTCGACAGCATACGCATCCAATTCAATGGTACTTGGTGGAATTGTGTCTTTCAGTTCTATACCAGTTCTTCCAAATCTATTATCTCATCTGCAATGGTGGTTATAGTGGGAACATCTCTTGAAAGGGGTGTCTTTTAATCATCAATAACCCACAATGACGCTATACACAGATGACTCCCTAGCAGGATGGGGTGCTTTCCATGAGTGTCCATTCCATAGGATCCTCCTCAGTTATAGAAATACATTAATCTTCTAAAACTGAGGGCAGTACTACTAGTATTGAGACACTTTCAAAAGGTGATGAGAGAACAGTGTTTGCTGATAGTTATAGATAGTTCAAAAATAGTAGCTTATCTTCATAATCAAGGAAGGACCCAATCCCTTTCTCTTTACCTTCTATGCTGAGAAGTTCTCGTGTACTGCGACAGCTGTCTACAGACTAGTTTGTCAGTGAGACATGTCCAAGGCAACCAGAACCAATAAGCGCATGCCTTTGAATGCCCTCGTGTTCCAGTGAATACGGACTTGAAGTCATATAAGTAGTTTTTTAGGCTATCACTCGGAGTTGGGATCGCCCACTGATAGATCTTTTTACAGTCAGTTTTTAATCATAAACATTGCTCTCGATATCCAACAAATTCTATTCTCCGAGGCCTTTGCAAAAAGCAATATAATATGGATTCAGCGCTGCGCTAAATTCTCACATCTGAAGTCATAATGGTAACGTATTCATTGTAATACAAACTTAATGTTTTGTTTTTAATTTGTTTTTGTAAAACGAATATTATCCATTATAAATCAGAGGTACCAACCACCTCCCGTTCATCCCCTTTGTTATTTTTTTTTATCGTAAAAATAACGAAGTAAAACGGCACGCATTATTTTAGAAAAACCAATTTGTTATAAAAGAATGTAAGCTTTCCTGTTATATTTGAACATGCCGTTTGGTATAATATTGGTTGTTATGATGTAATTTTTGAGACTATTTTACATGCACATATAATACTTTAAAGAGATGAGCAAGCCTACAGACATGTTTGGTGCACAATGTTGAAGACATACATAAAGAAAACATTGAAAAGAATAGCTGTAGTGGATCATTAATTAATTTACTTAGGTCCGTAGAATAATGATATTTTGCAAATATTCATTAACACACTCGAAATCTTTATGCACCATTTAACTTTATATCAAAATAATTTAGTTTTGGATGTAACGCGTCTTCTGATTGGCTGACAGTGTTTTGTCTATCAGCTCATAGACATAATTTTGTCATGTGACCATGACGTCATCAACGTTTTTTCATGATTTACTCCAGCTTAAAATTAAATTTAGAATTAAATTATAAGGAAAGACTGTAATAATTTGTTCCGTCTATTCAAAATAACATACAAAATGTGGTGCACACTTTAAAATAATCCGCTACGCGGGTTATTCAGTGTGCACCACATTTTTGATGTTATTTCTTCATAGACAGAAAAAATATTATAGTCATCCCTTAAATAAATATGTACAGTCCCAACAGACACGGCTTCCACTGCCTCACTTTTAAACTTATACCTCGAATTTGACATGAGCGGTCATCTCAGTACCAGAATCTATGACAAAAGAGACGATTTTAATTTTGAAATGATCAATTTCCCCCACCTTAGTAGCAATATACCAACTTCCCAACTCATTCGGTATTCAAGATCTTGCAGCAGCTACTCAGACTTTGTAAAACGTTTCCAGTGTCTGCGTAGAAAGTTGATGAACCAGGAGTATGTCAAAGAACGTCTCGCCCTTTTTCTAAAAAAGTTCATCGGAAGATACCAAGACTTGTAGATAAATATTCCGTATCAACTTCACAAATAATACACGATGGTCTTGAGGTATAGATTATAGGTACTGACGTTGTTTATCTTCTTAATAACGTGTTATAGTAAGCTTTTATTTGTCTTTGTAAATTATTACTTTTATTGTTTAGTCAATTTGTGGCAATATCCATTTGACGTGGCTCGGTACTTATACATCCCGTCATTGTGTTATTGTGCTATGGTAATTTTTTGTATTCTTCTCTTTCATTTTTGCTAATTTGCTTTGTCTATATGCCTATTTGTTTATCTTTTTGACATATTTGCTTGTTTTTATAGTGATTAAGATTATAGTACAATGTTGACTGATGTACCCCTATTTTTGACATTTTTACCTATTATGTATGTTGGTTTTGTTCACACACCGTTGTCAATATAATGGAATTTTATGCAACTGTCATACAAGTGAGAGGTTTAGCTAGCTATAAAACCAGGTTTAGTCCACCATTTTCTACATAATAAAATGCCTGTACCAAGTCAGGAATATGACAGTTGTTATCCATTCGTTTGATGTGTTTGAACTTTTGATTTCGCCATTTGCTTAGGGACTATCCGTTTAGAATTTTCCTCGGAGTTCGGTATTTTTGTTATTTTACTTTTTGATACAGTCCGTGTTGTATTTGAGCAATTCAACCTGAATAATTAGTTATCATCAAATCTGTAAACCACACCGTCTATATTTTGTTTTGCAATATATAAATTTGAGATTTGAAAAATTATACTCTTCTTTCTTAAAACAACAACTTCAACTTAAATATAAAGCTTTTTTTGATAGGGCATTCCATAAAATTGCCCGATAGTCTTTTTAGAACTTTAAGATTTAATTCTCTTAGCACACATTCACTAATAAATAATTCCTAGGGCAGACAATCCTAAGTATTTCGAAAAAATCTAAGTTATTTAAACAGTTAATTTATAAATATGAACATATCATATTTCTATGAAAATCTAGATTGCTGCTTAATGTCAAATCAATATCTTGATAAAATGCCAGTAGAGCGAAGACTGACATTTTGCACGATTACACCTCATGTTGCAAAATAATCAAACGTCTCCTTGAAGGGTAAATAAGGCATATACAACGACAGAGATAGTAAAATGGCATATCCTTGTGCATATAATACGGCGATGACGTCAATATGATGAAATATAAAAAAAAATCATCTGATTTAAACAAAATGCACGAAAATAAACTAGCTCTCAACCAATCAAAATGCAAGCAACTTCCATTGTGTAACTACACAAGGTGTAATCAATGAGAAAAAATACCAATCTTGACATAACTTGAAATATCTGTAAAATCTATGTACAATTTGTAAAAAAATACAACAAAAATACCGAACTGCAAGGCAACTTCAAAAAGGGGAAGTCCATAAAAACTGACAAAATCAAACGTCATCAATCAACGGAAGAACATGAAAACAACTGCCTTATTCCAGACTTGCTACAGGAATTTTACAAAGAAAATAGTGGGTAAAACTTGGTTTAATAGATAGCTAACCTCCGACTTGTATGACAGTCGTTTATAGGTCCGTTATATATACAAAACTGGGTAACCAACCCAATCAGACATAATAGGTCAATGTGACAATAACTGGGATCCATCAACCAAAACAGCGTAAACTCGAAAAAGACGTCACAAAAAAAATTGTTGGCGTTGATAGTACATACTGCATAGGGAAAGGTATATCGATTTGTTTAACAGACAAGATGTGTTGAATATTTCGAGTAATGGTTGGAATCCATTCATTAGATCTTAATTTCATCGCCGTACTAGTGTGTGTGTGTGTGTGTGTGTGTGAACAGCTTAAAACCTTCTGGTAAAATATGATTTTGAATATTAAGTTAAATGAATATTTACACACACTTCGTGCTATACATTATCGACCTCAGCCGAGATATAAGTATTGGATTAAACAGAGTATAATTACCTTCTAAGAGTGTGAATTTCTCCATTTTTCGCTGCATGTATTATTTCTGTAGCACATTTTTCTCTGAAATGTTCCTGCAATTTATATCACATGATATCAGAAACTATATAGTCAGAATTGATTCAAAAATAAAGGCAACAGTAGTAAACCGCTGTTCGAAATTCATAAATCGATTGAGAAAAAAAAATCCATTTACAAACTAAAACTGAGGGAAACACATCAAATATAAGAGGAGAACTACGACACAACAGAAACACAACATTAAAATGTAACACAAACAGAAGCGAACTATAATATAACAATGGCCATTTTCCTGACTTGGTACAGAACATTTAAAAAATGGTGGGTTGAACCTGGTTTTGTGGCTAGCCAAACCTCCCGCTTTTATGGCAATGTTAAATATAACATTAAAATGACAACATTACATGACAGGACTACAATACAAAGAAATGGGAGAACATATAGGACAGAGAAACATACGAATAATAGCTAACAAAAGGTATCAGGTTTAAAATTTAATACGCAAGACACGCGTTTCGTCCACACAAGACTAACCAGTGACGCTCAGATAAAAAAAGTTCGAAAGCCAAAACAAGTACAAAGTTTAAGAGCATTGAGGACCAAAAGTTCCAAAAAGTTGTGCCTAATACGGCTAAGGTTTTCTGTCTGGGATAAGAACATCCTAATTATTTAGAATAATTCATACTTTTGCAAACAGTAAATTTATAAAAATGACTATATGATAGATATACATGATAACACCGAAGTGGTGACTAACTACAGAATAAAAACGGATACATAAAATAACATAAACCAGCACATAAAAATTCACAGCCGAGTTAGCCAAAGAGATCAACGCACAAAGTGAAGTCACATTAGAATTTCTAAACATTTCCCCAAAATAGGATAGAATTAGGATAGAATTCAAGATTAGGTTTGTAATACTTATATAACATTTATTAATAACAATGAAAATTACAATACTAATTAATATAAAATTGTGGTAGTAATTAGATAATTAATTGTATTCATTGCAATGCAATCATTTATCAATATTTCATTAATAAACTTTTTGAAACTTTTATCCAGTCAGGTTTTAATTATATACTTTTGACAAAACAAAAAAATATGTTGGAGTCAATAATTTTAATGTTATATCTGCTTAACCTCACCGCTTTGGTTTTCTTTGTTTTATATTTGGCTAAAAGGGATATAACTTCGTTGTAGTTCTTTTTCTTTTCATCGTTTGCTTGGTGCCATTCTGCATCTTCACGTGCTGTGCGATTCCATCTGAAGATACATTTTCATTACATCATACATTGTACTAACAATGTATATCGGAATATTGACATCATACATAAATATATAAATCTGCGATAAAATAGTCATCGTGTTTCTAGAAATACTTCATCGGGAAATCCCAAGACTAGATGTTTGGAAGCAAATGTAAAAACATTTTGTGAGTATCAAAATAGAAGGGCCTGAGCAATGAATTATAAAACATCTACCATGTTATAAATTTGCATCTTTAGTTTGAAAACAAATAGTTTATTCATGAATTAATCATTATAGTTTCCTTAAACAAATCATTTAATATGTCCTACCAACATCGATGCTCGCAGATTCAGCAAAATTGTCGACAACAGCAATATGAATCACTCTTTAATACTTTTATGTCATGGAAATATGTGAAATTGATGACACATGTTTTAAGTGTATCATGTGGACTCTTTACTTTTCAAATTCTAGCAGGTTTGAGCTACTTTCGTATTTTGACCCTGCGATTAAAGCAAATTCAGCGGAAATTGATCCAACCTCTTTTGAAAAAATTGTTTCAATTATTCCTATGATATTCACCAGAGACGATAACTTAAAGTGGCTAATTTAACATGTTCAAGAATCCATGTTTGGACATCCTGGAATAGCGTTTTTCTTCAAAAGCACACATTGACTTGCTGGAGCCTCTCGATTTCACAATATTAAGATATTTGAGACTGAATATCTTGAATAACTCACAATTCATAATATCAAAAATTTGAACAAATTTCTAGATTGATATAATATTTGGAAAGACAATAACATTTCATAAATAATTAAGAATACCACAAGGATAATAAGGGTTATTTTTTATATTATTTCACCCTCGTAGTATGAATAGTTGTTACACCCTGAACATCCTATGGTTTATTTCAAATTCTTTCATAAGAAGAGTGAAAACATATATCCTTAAATTGACAAAGTCCCTTTCATGAAAATGTTTAGAAATAAATTTCATCTATACACAAACATCGTCATTTCTCCATACTTGACCGTATATTATTAAAGTAAAAGAGAGACGAATGATAACAATGGGGCATTCAAACGCATAAGACGAGAACAAACTGAGAACGCCATGGCAAAAAACGAAATAGAAAACCCAAACATTTAAGCTACACTCAGGATAACCGCTAACTTGAAGAAGAGCATAGAATAATTTTAAAGGCGGAATCAAAATGTGCCATAACTTGAGTTTGATTGATTTATTGGAAAATTCATATTTGTTGGAATTGGTGATTGTAACACAGTTTTCGATTTTCAAAATAATCCGATATACGGGAGTTTGAACGTCGAAAAATTAAAAAAAAATGAAACTGAAAATGTTCATTCGTCATTCGATTTTGTTCAAGATTGTTTTTGATTGAAGATTTCATGCAGCAACATTATAAACAGTATAAACTTGTTTATATTTTCGTAAATTGAACCCTGATGGATAGTGGTCACATTGCCTATCATACTACATCTCCTTTTATATATATATATATATAGTAGTGGAAAAAGCGATATTGTGCAATGGCCAAAACAATTTAAAAAATAGAAACATTCTAGTCATGCTGCAAATTAAAATGTAGGTAATTGATCATTATTCCCTAAAATAGTGGACGAAGTGATCAAACATCAGTATTGTGAGTATAACCTTTAGCAATAAGTTATCATTGTTTACAATTATCTAAACTGGTTTTTAGTATATACCTATCAGTTGCACCTGGACTACAGAAATGACGTTCTAGTAGGTATTGTACAGCTTCCACTTGGCATTCACAAGCAGCTAAATGAAGAGCACTGCGCTGGTCATAATCAACATCATGCATTTCTACGTATGTCTCGTGCGCTATGCTAAATTAAATAAAACCAAATATATCATTTTGACTGTATATCTAACATGAGCGATAAACAAATCAAACGGATCAAAGTAAAATATCATAGTTTTATAAGATTATATATCGGTGTTGAAATACAAATTACGTTTCGCTCTGCTGCGTTTAGTTATCTGCAACTACTCCTCTTGAACTTAGAAAATTACTTGAGTATAAAGACGGTTCAGCATTATATTTTATTGTTGATTTGGTATGGATCTTCTTATTATAGAATGAATGCAGATAATTCCACATCGGCTATTTCATATAAGATAGAACCACAAATCCGACTTTACATAAAAGTTATTAATTCTTAATTTATTGGGTTCATCAGCTCTTTAACGTTTGTAATAGTTATGGATTTTCAAATGTTTTCTCCTCAAGCATCAATGAGGAGCTATTAATTGTCGAAATGTGTATCTGGTGCATTAAAATCTGTATCGTTATATAATATTACTACCTCTGGGTCGATATCTTTGCTCGTGGACTGTAAGACCCTGAAATGTTTACCAGCCCAGTAGTCAGTACTACTGTACCGGCATGAAAATACAGATATGTTTTTCAAATGAAATTTGCTTACATAATATATTCGAAATCGTTTTGAATTATGAAATGTATCTACCTCATGCATGGCTCTGATTCAATGTCCGGTATTCGATTGACATTTTTTTTCCTTTTTGATTTTATAAGCTCTTTAGTATTTGTAATAGACTTTTGGATTTTCAAATATTTCGGCCACGATTGTCTTTGGAGAGACCATAATGACATTAATTGTCAAAAAAAATATCGAGTGCATTAAAAAAAGGGAAATACAACTGTTTGCCCTTCAGATTCAAGTGATGATGTCCTGATTTTAAGTGTACAGAAAAATTAGCAGGTAATATGAAGGATCAGTGTCGTTACATTCGATAATTTTCTTACGAAATTTAGGCCGTTTACAGTACATACCAAAGAGAATACATTAAAACTCTTACCGTCGTAAATCATCAATGTTCCCATCTTTAGCGGCATTCAGGAGTTCAAATATTTTCACCTCATATTCCTCATTATATATGTTGCGATCCTACAAGATATCAATTAATTCCTAATTAGTTTCAACTTACTGTATTTTTTCACTGTTTCTAACAAGTAATAAGTATCTCAATTTCTTTTAGTATTAAGATATCTACGTTTATATAGATATACGAGTCTTTTATCTAAATAGTATATTGTGTTTTATTTCAAATTTCTGAATACCTTATTACAGGCAAATGTAATGGCAGATGCAATAGGTAACACAGATCAAAATCTGCAGTACTTAATTGAAAAATTCTATTGTATCAAATCCCAAAATCTGTTGTACACGGTAATTTTATATAAATTACTATTGGAACATAGATCTTCTTGTATCTGTCGTACCGATAGCAGAAGTAAAGGTTGTGCTTTTGATATATTAACCGCTGGTACATTATTCCCGTGTCACTTGGAATTTAACTAGGATAAATTGAATATCTTTCAAAATTTAGATTTAAAACCATTTCTGTATAAAATTTCAGCTAATTCATTAACCGTGTTTTCTTTTATATGGAATGAACGTTTTATCAGTCACTGAATTGAAATGTTCACTTTGGTCAGATAAACAAAGTGAACTTGTAAATTTACTGATTTCCTTTTAAGAATGCACTTAGTAAAATGCATGTTACTGACATAACAGTCAATATTCTTAGTTCATGGTTTGTGCAATAAGAATTAACAAGTTATCTTCATTAAAGTGAGAACGAGTTATAACACAATTAACTTGAAATAATGTAGTTACCACACCTTTTGTATTTTATAGTAGAAAATCATGCTAATAGCAAACATGCAACCTGAAAAAATAATTTTCTAAATTAAAAAAAAATAATCTTTAAACCTTTGTCCATAAGTAGGCATTAAGTTCTGTTTTCCATTTTTAAGGACATATGTAAAATATTATGAATTTTATTTGCGATTCCGAAATTCCAAACTTTTAATTTGTGACATTGTCGTCAGCAATGAAATTATAACTTATCATCTTGTTATAACGAATTACTGTGACAAATAAGTACGAATTGCGAAAACTAGAATCAGAAGGCATTAGATCTAAAATTTATGATTATGAATTTAAAATCTTAGGTACTAATTTCAAATAAAAATAATATGAACTATTTATTTTAACAGATCTTATTGAGTGTCTTTAATATTAATTTAGAACATGAATGATAACTGAATTGTCGGAGAAATATCTACATAAAGATCTTAAGCATATGTCATCCCATTTGAGTATTATTCGTAATTCACATTCTTTATACAGTTTTTGTTTAATGAAAGAGTCATTGACATCGATAGCAAGCTGGAATGCAACTTTATTTCAATACTAATTCTTAATTAAAATATTGGTTGATTTTAAAAGAATTTATGTCTAATAACATAAAATAAATTAATCACAATTTGGAACTTGGCGACGGGCGAACTCTTTTTAATATAGTTTATTTCCGCGTAAGTTTTAATATATATTATTTTTGAAAATACATTTAAAGAGTAAATCATTCATATAATATCTATTGATTTTACCAAGCACTGGCACCACGAACATAGCCATCAAGGTGATTTTGTAATCCACATGTATCTTCTCAAAGTATATCAAAGTGCTTAAAACTACAAAAAAGTGTAAGTAAGTTACGAACAGTACACATGATGCTATACCATTTTGCATATCAGGATCCATAGTTTTTGTTTACGGTGTAATTAACAAATGTTGATGTGTTTGAAAGTAAAGTTTCTTGTGTAAATAAAGATAACACTTATTTCGTGCGTCCGAAGCTCTTTTCTGTGCCCCTCTTCTTGTCGACTTGTTCCTTTATTCATATGAGGCTGACTTCATACAGGAACTTCTTAGGAAGAAAGAAAAGAAGTTAGCAGTATCCTTTAACTTTAATTTCCGCTATATAGATGATGTTCTCACACTAAAAAATTCAAAATTTGGTGACTATGTTGAACGAGTCTATCCCATCGAACTTGAGATAAGGGACACAACAGATGCCTAATATCTTGACTTACATCTAGAAATTGACAATGAGAGTCAATTGAAAACAAAACTTTATGACAACAGAGATGATTTCAGCTTCCCAATTGTGAACTTTCCATTTCTATGTAGCAACATTCCAGCAGCGCCTGCATACGGATTATATCTCTCCCAGTTGATTCGATATTATTAGGCTTGTATTTCCTATCATGATTTCCTTGGTAGAGGGTTGCTGCTCACAAGGAAGCTATTAAACCAAGAGTTCCAAGTGGTGAAGTTTAAGTCATCCCTTCGTAAGTTTTACGGACGCCATCACGAGTTGGTTGACCGTTATGGAATATCCGTTTCACAGATAATAACGGATATGTTCATAAAGTTGTAACTACAATCCCGTACCCTTTTCCCCGATTGTGACCTACCGAATTAGACTAATTACCGGGTTTGTAATAACATGAGCAACACGAAAGTGCCACATGTGGAGCAGGATATGCTTATCTTTCGGAGCACCTGCGATCACCCCCAGTTTTTGGTGGGGTTCGTGTTGCTCAGTCTTTAGTTTTCTATGTTGTGTTTGTGTACTATTGTTTGTCTATTGGTCTTTTTCTTTTTTAGCCATGGCGTTGTCTGTTTATTTTCGACATATGAGTTTGAATGTCCCTCTGGCATCTTTCGCCACTCTTGTTCTAGATGAAGGAGCGTTCAAACCGAAACATTTGAAAACCAGGGACGTATATACAGTAAAATCTTAAGTAGGTAAATGACGTAAAGGAACTAAAAAGAAATAGCTAAATTCGTCTTAGATCAACTTTGCTTCAGATAGTTTGAACCTTAGTTTTTAGTAATTTCATCATTTATCACCGATAAGGTTTTTTTTTTAATTTGTTATATACCATGTCAGTACTGAACCAATACACTGTGTGTACCATGTGATGTTCAGTAGAAGCTTTAAAATCAATCTTTGTTCAGACATTTAAGACATTAATCGTTTCCTATATTTTTAATTTGTTGCATAATGGGAAACGTTGAATTTGATTCTCATATATTATTTTATTGGGGATTTTTAGAATTATCAATTGCAGTTTAATGAAATATTCATATTTGAAATACAACACAATCCTCAAAATTATCACAAGGTATGGCCATACAAGAATTTTATGATGTTTTCAATAAGTTATACTGCCCCAATTCCTTAATGGATTATTTTTTTCGAGGCTTCAACCTCGAAGAGACACCGGGTTATAGAAATTGTAAACGTTTTTTTACGGCTTATCGTTTTGATACCCTTTACCCCTTCTCCTCAAGTGGTGTCCACGGTTGTGTGGGATTTATGAAAAAAGTTAAAAAAATCAAGTTACAAAGTTGACGTTATATACAAAACCCTTTAATGAGTGAGCGCCAAACTATCCTCACGTTATAGAACTATAGCACACACAATTTGAGGGATCCGTAAGTGGCCTCTTGCAACGGTCATTAAGAGAAATCACAATAGATTACCAATTAATGCATTTATCCTGGTATCTGAAGATGTTAGACCGCAAAAATGTGTCTCTTGCGAGTTGAGATACATGCACATCGTATCAGTCAACCGATTCATGCTGGTGAACATAAAACTGGTGTGATTTATTTTTCAGTCGTTCTTCCTCATGACACTGCTTGATAAGTTTTTGCGTCGCATCCCTGTTGATAGTCTTTATAAAGTGAACGTGAACGTACGTAACGAATCAATTGGCGTTATTTTATTTTTTAAGGTTGCACTTCTGTAAATATAGACAATACAATTTCCTTAAGAACTCCCTTTGCGGCTAAAACTGTGCAACTTTTACTATGAAGTTTTGAAAATATTATATCCTAGAACGGAAAGTTGATATGCACTACTATTTTATTCAAAGGTCAAAACATAAGGCTGTGTGGCATATTTTCAACATGTATATGCTCCGAACTTCTAGGAGTTTAAACTTATACTAAAATTATGTACTACCCCTACCTTCACTTTGGGCCTTCCTCAGAATTCAATATTCGCCGCTACCATGTGTTTTTATACTGATAACATTCCCAAGTTATGTCTCTATGAGATGAAACATAGAGATCATATCTAGGAATCAGTAGGTAAACAAAACAAAAAAAAAAAACAAAAAAAAACTGAATATTATATATCTCCCCAAAAGAGGCGTGGCTTGTGAAACAGCTGTATTTACAAAGTGCAACCTATACTAACATTTATTCAAATAGAAAACTCTTGAAAAACACTTATTCTCACAACAATTCTTATTTATCAGAATTATAGCCTTAAAGAAATCACTGCATACATTCTAACTTTTCTTTTACAGTACATTTTGTACCCCCATCCCTGTTTCAATTTTTAAAGAATTTGAAAACAAGACTTTAATTATTGTCAGCTTACCCTATGTGCATGTTTTCTGACATGATATACCTAGAACCTGTTTGGAACTATTCTGATAACAAATTGAAAGCATTTCAGAATACTATAAATGTAAAGATTAGTAGTTGATCATTCCAACATTCAAGATTATATAAAGTATCCAATCCTGCCTCTGTCTCCAGTCCACATCTTACTGTATGCCTATTTGACAATAAAAGTTCACAATTTCTGCCTCAAATGGTCAGTTTAGAAATCTTGTCACAACAATATCATCTCTAACCATATATCTAACATAATTTAGCTAATATATGAACTAGAAGTGTTAAAACAAAGCTATATTTGCAAAAGTTGTATGTATGAAGTTACCAGTCTGATGTATGAATTCACTTAAAGTTTTATAGAACTGACTGCTAACATTTGTTTTTTGCATAACTTCCAAGCACAGTTATTGTTTTCTATACAAAAGACCTTTAAAGTAATAAAATCTTAGCATTTACAGGTTAAATTATCTGTTTTGTGAACCAGGGGGTTGGCATTTTTCTCTGTTTTTTGCCACTGGGGCCTAAAATTTGCTAAATTATTCTGCTGCTTCTGTGAATATGGAATATTTAGTACATATCTAGAAAAAATCACACTATTGTTAGTTTTATTGAGGTATTTTTTAATTCCTTGCTTGCAGCACAGAATTTTCTCAATCTTCATGAAATATTTATTAAACTTTAAATTAGAGTTAATTTCATTAAAATCTCTGAGATAAACCAGATTTGGTTAAATTCTATGTGTTCGCTTTTTTCACCCAATATTGTTTGCACTTCTGTAAATATAGACATTGCAATTTCCCATAGGAACCCCCTTTACGGCTAAAACTATGCCACTTTTACTATGAAGTTTCGTAAAAAATTATATCCTAGAACGGAAAGTTGATATGCACTACTATTTTATTCAAAGGTCAAAACATAGGGCTGTGCGGCACATTTTCAACATTTATATGCTCCGAACTTCTAGGAGTTTAAACTTATACTAAAATTCTGTATACACGATCTCCAATTTTAAAACGTCTATTACATACGCGCGTTTGCAATCCGACAACTCATTCGGGTCACTGGTGCTTATATTGAATATTTGCGCATGTGCAAACGGGTGAACAGGAAAATAAAAATGTTTACCTATTCTTCCGACTAGCAGGAACAATAGACACTCCGTACTAAAAGTAGCGCACGATCAACACTTTTATAACCCAATAAAATTACAAAAAGAAGCATTCTTTTTTTCAAATTACACTTGAATGTTACAATCATGTTATTACAAGTAATATAAAGCTTAACAACAATCAATCACACGATACTTTATTCATCCTCTTTTTTTGCATTAACTCCCACATTTATTCGTACCACCACCTACGTCAGGACACTACCTTCAGATTTCAAGTAAATCAAAGGTTCGGAAGAATATTTTTTATATGTAATACAATCAATAAATATGATTAAGTGTGTAACGAAGGAAATAAACATTTTTTTGTAAATTCTTTGAAATGTACAATTCATCAAGTGTGTGATCCTGATTTTAAGTAAAAGTAAATTCTAATATAAAAAGAAGTATAAGACAAGAAAAAAACTACAATCATACCATAATTGCCTAAAAGCACTAAGGCAAGGAAAAATAAATATATGTATTTTCGTCTTCGTCCTGTGTACCTGTGTCGTCTCAGGATATACCAAACACCTAAACAAATTAAGGGTAACCGTTATTAAAATGTTTCTGCTTTTTCCATTACAATATTTTTTTAAAACGAGTAACACATACGATATAATTAAGGTTAAACATTAAATGTGCATTAAGAATTAAATCAATGGAGGAACCACTAACTTAAAAGCATTTATGTATTTAATATATATTTTTGCACTTTTCGATAGCCGCCAAATTATATCATACCGAATTTATTTAAAATCTCAAATATGATTTTGTAAATACTAAAACTGAATTTAGAACTACAAAAGTTCCATCGAAAACAATACACAATGCCTAACATATTTATCAAGTATCAATATTTCGTGTGTATGACTGAATGCCATATAATTACTATCGACATGACCCGGGAACACTGTCTAGGAAGATGTTTCACCGTTATAATAATGAAATTGATATAATATAATTCTTGTATGATTTGAATATTAGGGAATACGTTTATTTGATTGGTCGAGAGGGCTTCCGGAAGTGGCTCTTAACGTTATTTTTTTTTCGATAGACAACGTTGACCGAACTACTTTCTGTAATCAATGTAAACAAGATGGCGGCGATAATAACTCAAACCGGCTCGACGTTAAAAATATTTATTTTAACCTCCCGTTCATCGCTAAATTAAATTATAAACACAAAACTGAACGATAATATAATATTTTTGTAGTTTATTATTTTTCAGATTGCAAATTTCATTGAGTACATTTGTTTGCGTTAATAAAAAAATATTAATACGCCAGGCCAGTTCAATGACACAAATATACAATTTGCGTGTGATAGAGGTTACTTGTGGGAAAATTAAATTCCTTATCTCCAATTTTGAAGAATTACTAGAAAAAAAAACCCGCGGCTTGAAGACTTCTTGAAATGTTTATGGTGACACACAGCTTGGGTTCGTATTTTTCAAACTGTTTTTATGCACTGATGCATTATGTTGATAGTTTTGATTAGTTTGTCAGTTCTTCTTCCATAGGGGGGTTTGCATTTCAAATTAGTAGCTTCTTTCTCGGTGTTACACAGGTGCTCCTAGAACGGAGGAAATAACTCAGAGAAGAAGACGACAACCTAGAACACTGATGATTAAAACATTCCTCAGTGGTGCTAGTTTGTAGCATTTCTTTTTCTTTTCAAGTTCTGTCTCTGTGTGATACGGGTGCTCCAAGAACGGAGGAAATAACTAAGAGAAGACAATCTAAAACTCTCTGATGATTTAAAACATTTCTTCAGTGGTGCAAGTTTGTAGTATTATTTTTCGAGTGGTGCGAGTTCTGTCTCTGTGTGACACGGGTGCTCCGAGAAAGGAGGAATTTACTAAGAGAAGAAGAAAACAATCTAATGATTAAACACAGTCTCGTGTGTTATTTTGTTATGTTCCTTTTTTTTGAGTGGTGCTAGTTTGATAAAGTAATACAGCTGTAATAATTAGTGAGAGTGTTTGAGTGGTGCGAGTTGGCCGTGGGCCGAGTTGTCATAAATTCAAGGGAAAACGGTAGTATTTATTCTGCCATAGGCGACAATACTAACATTTTCTATAATAAAAACCTGGACAAAACAGTTATGTGTGGTGTTAATACTTTATCATTCTGTTTTAAAAATTGAAGTCAAATAGTATCATGACCAACTTCCAACGTAGCTTGTTTATGTTATTCATGCCCACCGTCATTTTACAACAAATTTATGAAATTTTGGAAGTCTTTTCGAATAATTCTCTAGAAAATATTTTAATTCGTTTCCAAATTTCTATTGTAAATATACACACTGCAGTTATTCATAGATAAATAAAAAAATATATTGTACCCTTAAATCCTATCACAGCGCTCCTAAGTTGACTTCCTTCACCTGCCTTGGGTACACAAAAGGCCAACCTAAAGCCGGGAAAATGTAATACTACTTTTTTCCCTCAAGACAAATTGAACACAAAACCTTTTCCCCCTGCTTACAAAACGTAGACGGTAAGGAACCAGGTACGAAACTTTATTTGGGGTTTGATTAATTAAGCTGCGCTAATTAAAGCAATTACTATATGAAGTTATAAAGTACATTACATACACTAACTTTTTTATAATAATATAATACTTCAGACGATCGTCGGCATCGGAGACAAACCAGCTAAAAATTTTGGTCTACAAATTTAATAGTACAGATAAGGATTTAATGTATTTTAAAGGACTTTAATTTGTTTGTTAGTGGATTGGTCCATTTTATACACCAATAAATTCCTTTAAAAAGGCGTTCAATCCTATAAAGTTTTTTTTGTTTTTGCGCGTCGAATCATTCAACGAAATCTGTTTTGCTGCGGCTGTCCTCCCTACTTTCACTTTTTCAGCCGACATTCGTTTTAATCACTGTACACTCTGTACATTTCCAAAACTTTATTTCTATCTTTTTTCAAGGAAATGTCTCCCTGTTTATATCGAAATGGCAACAAACAAATGAACAACATAATAGAATGAGATGAGTTTGTCGTAGAACAAAATTATCCATGAATTTAAAAAAATGAATAAAGCATTATAACATACTATGGCAATATTACAATTTTAATGGCCAATGTTCTTCAACTTCGTGACTTCTTCACATCCAAACTGTGTTATATGAGCACCAGTGATAAGTCTTCAACAATGAGCAAAAACCCATACCGCATAGTCAGCTATAAAAGGTCCCGAAATGACAAATGTAAAACAATTCAAACGAGAAAACTAACGGCCTAATTTATGTACAAAATAACGAACGAAAAACAAATTTGTAACACAGCAACAAACAACAACCACTGAATTACAGGCTCCTGACTTGGGAAAGGCACATACAGAATGCAGTGGGGTTAAACATGTTAGAGGGTGCCCAACCCTCCCCCTAACCTGGGAGTGTGATGTAACAGTACAACATAAGGACACACTATAAAAATCAGTTAAAAAAGGTTTAATTCATCAGATGGATACAAATAGAAATACATCTAACAAAAACACAGGGTGGACGTGACCGGATACTTGTAAATTCCAACAATAAAAAGGACACTAAGTACATATCTGAGAGTACTCGCAGTTACTGGCTGCTAGTTCAAAGCCAATAACAACTAATAAAATAAATCATGCATCGAAGACTTAATTATCAACAGTACACATCAAACATCTATTGGATTTAGTGTAAAGACGTCATAAACAATCAGAGAAAAACATGACCTTGTGCATTGCCAAGAGACAGGTATCGACAGATTGTAGAGCCATGAGTGTGCATATGTATATATAACAATAATATTTAGTTTGCTTTTAATTTAATGATAACAGAATCAATATTAATACCAATAAAAACTATAAGATCTAATTACAGTGTTGAATTGGTAAACTTTTAGAATAAGTTTATTTAAATGATCGATAAGTTTATCCGGATCGTTTCTAAATAAAAAGAGACAAAGAATATGAAAAGAAAAAGAAATCAAACCATGCTACTGATATTAAAATATTTAAACAACTGAAACAAACCATCCAAAGAAAATCAAGACAAGCCCATTGGAAATATATAGAAGACATAATAACTCCAGAAGATAATGAGGACATCTGTTTACCAACCAAAAGATTCTGGACCTATATCAAACACAATAAAAGTGATACAAATGGATAAGCACCACTTAGAAGAAATGGGAAATTAGAAACTGATACAATAAAAAAAGCAAGTATATTAAATGATCCAATCGGTTTTCTCCGCTGCATGTACCATCAGTTAAAGAGATTTTGAAAAGAAAAAAACTCATGACAGATCTACCAGAAAACTAACCAAACAGCGAACAAATAATCATCACTAATAATGGAGTGGAAAACAACTGAAAAATCTAAAACCACACAAGGCTGCTGTACCAGACAACATAAAACCAATGATACTGAAAGACTAGCCAGTGAAATTGCTCCGATCTTAATCATTATTCACAATTTTTCAATGGAGAAAGGAAAGATACCCGATGACTGGCGAACTGCAAACGTCACTCCGGCATATGAGAAAGGCTGGACATGCATACCAGCTAACTATAGGCCAATATACTTAAAATGTATCTGTTTCAAAATAATAGAACATATAGTCAACATTAACATCATGAAACATGCAGAGGTACAAAACACACTATACCCTCTACAGTATGGCTTCAGGAGTAAAAGATCATGTGAAACACAACTCCTTGACTGTATCGATGATATTACAAAAAATCTGGAAAACGGCAAAGAATCAGATCTGCTAAGACTGGACTTTTCAAAAAGTTTTGACAATTTGTCCCACAGTTTACTCCCCCATAAACTACACCATTATGGCATTCGAAGTTAAACAAACAACTGGATAAAGGAATTCTCACCAAGAGAACCCAAGTAAAAGTTGTTGAAGGCGAAACATCAGACAAAGTGAAAGCTGAATCCGGAGTACCACAGGGATCAGTCTTAGGACCTAGTCTCTTCTTTTTTACTTTAACGACCTACCAGAAGGCTTACACTCAACAGTGAGACTGTTTGCGGATAATCCTGTTGTCTATTTGACCATTTCCTCAGCCAACGACTGCCATAAACTCCAAGAAGACCAGGACAAACGTGGGAAAATTTGAAAAATGGAGTTCCACCTGAAATATGCAGAGTCCTCACATCAAAAATCAGAAAAATTCAAACAAGTGGGACAACAAACTCCACAGCCATTCTCTTGAGCATGAAACATTGATTAAATAACTAATGGTCATTCTTCATAAACTCCGACAAGGATTAAAACAAACTGCCTCCAGATATCGCAACATCAAAGTCTCTTGATATATTCAAGTTTCAAGTGACAAAAACCTTAAATTAAATCAACCCAACAATTGGTTTTAACAAGTTTATTAACCATCCGCTTGCAATTTGCTAAAATATTCATCATGTTGAATGTGGGCAATATTTGGAAGAAGAAGTAGAAGAAGAAGAAGAAGAAGAAGAAGAAGAAGAAGAAGAAGAAGAAAAAGAGGTAGCCCTCTCTAACTTTGTGTTCTATTTGGCCTTCCAACTGTTTATTTCCAGCGCCGCTTATGAACTAAATTATAACTTAAGTTGACGTCATTATGATCTTGCAACAAACTTTGTCTTTATATTCACAAAAGTCTAAGGGGAACTAGTCGAGCTTATTAGAACTTATAATATCTCGTTCAGGGTTATTAAGTTCCAATAAAAAAACGAACTGTAAAAAAGAATACATTCATGATTGCCAATGAGACAACTATCCGCCAAAGTTCAAATGAAGTGGATGAAAGCAGTTATAGGCCACCGTACGGCCTTCAAGAATGAGAAAAAAAAAACGTATAGTCGACTATAAAATGCCCCGACATGAAATATGAAATAACTCAATTGAGAAAACAAACGGTCTAATCGATAACAAACAAATTTACGAAAACAAATATGACAGACATGAACCAAAGGCAACTACTGAACTACAGGCTCCTGACTTTGAAAGGCACATACATAATGTGGCGGGCTCAAACTAGTTTGAAAACGCCAACCCTTCCCTAACCTGGGATAGTGGTGTAACAGTACAAAATAAGAACAAAGTATAAAAATCAGTTGAAAAGGACTTAACTCATCAGATCGATACAAAGCAGAAATAAGCCTCCCACCACGTCGGACACCACCATTATGAATTTCGGCTGTATATTTAGTTGTTATGCACTTATTATTTACTGCTATTAAAGTTGTCAATATTTTTTAAAATTTTTGATCGTATTATTCTAACAATTAAACAAATGAATCTGTTAACATTGCTATTAATCAAGCGTGGGTACATACAAAAACAAAGTATTCATTTACCCTGGTGAAACTAAATTTGCTGTAGAACCCTCGTTCAAAATTTAAAACCGTGGTAAGCTGTAGTTAACACAAATAGCACAGTATCACGCAAAAACAGGAGATAATCTAGTATGTAAATATCAATCAATCAGAGGAACAATATATAGCATAATAACTGACGATATTTTATACACATGGAAATGAGTTCCATGGAGCAGACAGTGAATTTGGTGAGTGTATGTAAGTATACTGATCTCTTTGTGACATGAAACTCTCGGATGGCTTACAGTATGTAAACTTTACAGATTCACATAAAATTAATTTGATATATGCGTATACTCACCAATAAAGCAGGAGAAGGAAAATATGGCCATCATAATAAATATAACATAAAAGTAAAAGCCGGTGTCCTGAATATATTCCAATTCTGAAAAAAAAAACCAATTTATTTAGATTGACATGTTTAAATGAAACTTGGGGTCAAAGTACTACAATAAGCCGGATAAATTACGCAAGGAATGAATTATAAAGTTAGAATACTTTGTTAGGTTTCCCTAATTTAAAAAAAATGGCGACATTTAACAACCATCGACCTTTTCGACATCATGATGCATTCCTTGCATTATGAGATATACAGAGCATGCGTTTGACGTCAATTTTCGTAAGTAATAACCTGACAAATTAAAATCTACTAAGGATTGACAGTTTGTAATTTATGAATAGTTAAGTAAATGTGCATACATACCATCGATCGATCGTTAGAAACGAAAAGGTAACTACTTTTTTCAGTTGATACATGTCCTTATTTGGATGATTCAAAGGAAATATGTTGTATAACATCTGCCGCAGGCAAACAAACAACGATATTTCAATTTTCAAACTTTCCTTCCTGGTGGAAAATAAATATTCAGCAGCTTTGTCAATCAATGCCACACTGTAAAAGCATTATTTGCAGGAGGACACATCAACGTCGCAGTCGACTGTACAAAGTGAACAAATGCATTGATAGTGGAGTGAACAATTTCATATAGAAAATGAATAAATGAGATAAATTGCAACTATAGTTTACCAATGTTAAAACGTTAACCAGTACATATGTAGTGTCAACAAGAGATATTTTAGTGTTCATACTCACCTTCCGTTTCTTTAAATGTAGATATATGTCGGAATGATAAAGTAACATTCTCACTAAAAAGAAGATACAAACAATGTTTAAATGTTTATTAGATGAAAAGTGAATGTTCACTATAATTCAAATTCTAGAAAGAAAAGAGTTTGTGTTACCTCTGACAATTTGCTTTGTTAACATGGGAAAAAAAAGAGGCGGAAGTTCCAAGAGGACATTTAAAAATCATAAGTCGAAGAGAAACTTACAGAGCCATGGCTATAACGGAAAACGACGAAAAGACTTACAAGCCGACAAAATACTACATAGAAAACTTAAGACTTAGCAACAAGAAACCCACCAAAATCTTTGAGTAGTCGCAGGTGCTCAAGAACGGGAAGCAGATCCTGCTGTACTAGTGACATCCGTCATGTTGCTTATGGTAAGTACAAATGATAAATATTATATTAAGGCATGCTGAGAAATCAATTGAACGCTTGAGACATACATTTTACTTAATTGCGCATTTTAGAAAGCGAATAGTATTCTGTTAGTTTGCTGGCTTTTATCAAGATATAATAATCAGAGCCGCCAAAATAACATATTTTCTAGTTTGCCGGCGCCGGCAAAATAGCCACTTCTTTATCAAATCGTACCAAATCGATGAAACATTTTCATTTTGTATTGAATCAATAACTGAGCTGCTTTCTTTAAATTTTTGTTTTATAAAGTTGTTATTTTAGCCATTTGTTACTCAGTGTAAGATGCAAGTAACATAAATTTGAAGATATTTTAGTTTTCTTCTGTTTTTACTTACTTCACTTTTTCTTCCATCTTGTTTTTTTACTCTACTCGACAAAACCTCCCCAAGAGGTAGGTAGAACTCGTCTCGGGTCAAAGGGTTAAATTGATGATATTTTAGAGAAACTCTACCCGTTCGATTTAAACTCTACCTACACGAGTAACCTGAGTTAATCAAATCAAAGTCGACCCTAAAGAGCTGTCGGCGAATTAGAGTACGGAAAGAAAATAATTCAATAGCAGTGCATTTCTGAAGAATTTAACGCAATAAAAGACTTTCTTTTTTTAAGAAAGTCTATCTTCACGTTTTTATAGTAAAGCTTTACCATTTGTGCTGCATCAGATGACTTTAATTCAATACCACTTATTATATTCATAGTAATAAAGTTGTGATTTCCGGTAAATTAATGTCTTTAAATCCATCTTCGTTGTTTTACTTTTATAAACATAAACAAAAGAAACGTCATAATAGTTACTTTTCGAGTTATAAACACATACCTATGGGTGGAACAGCTTCCGTCAGCATTTAATATACTACACTTTTCTATGCAGTTGTATCCTGAAAATAGACAAAGATATTTGACAATAAATGAAATGTATCTGATTCATGAACATAAAAAACAATGTTCTTTTTAAAAAGCTTCATCAATCTTATTTTGTTAAATATAATGAAAAATATGCTTTACATCTACAATACTTATTTTATTTTTAGTTAAGTTCTAATTTAAGAATGAAGTAAATTACAAAACAAGAAAATGAAATATTCATTACCTTCATCAAGTTCCATATTTAGGCCACATATCTTTTTATAGCAAAAGCAGTCTTGTAATTCAGACGGAGAACAACATACACCGCCATTCATTGCATAACCTGCCTTATAGTCACACTTGCATTTTCTGTCTGTACGATCAGTCCCAGGCTTACAAATTTCTTGTCCCTCGCCACTACATGTTGACTTTATTGATAAACATTCACTTATTTCATAGGACTTAACAGGCCAAAGCTGGAATCTATCATCTGGACAAGGGTCATAGTCTATAGGATTTCCAGTCGCATAACTATTAAATCTTGGATAATTACCTTCAATCATTTCAAAATCTATTACAAAAGCAGTCATAAAAACACTCCTATTCAAATAACAAAACAACTAACCTGATTCACAAACATCCAAATGCTTTAATTACTTCACAATATTTTCGTTGTTTTATCAATGGCGTGTTTGAACAAATAGTTCAGTAGTATATGGTTGTCAGTTGAATTTTTTATCTTCAATGAAATGCTTCTATTTTACTTCATTTCACTTTACTACAAAAGCTTTACTATTTAATAAACTCATCATAAATACCAGGATTACATTTTGTACGCATGACGCGCGCCTCGTCTACAAAAGACTCATAAGTGTCGCTCGAATAGAAAAAGCCAAAGCACAGAAACTCGGAATATTCAACATACATTGACCTTAAGCCGGTGGAGTGTTCAAACTGAATGACAATAACTCATCAAAGATACTAGGCTTATAATTTGATCGCCAAACGCGAATTTCGTCTACATAAGCCCCATCAGTTGCACATAAATCAAAACATTAGCAAAACCGAATCAAACACGAAGTTGAAGATCATTAATTAATAACCGAAAATTTCGAAAAGATGTGCAAATTTCGTCAAAAGCAATCCATACTAGGGGGTAAAAAACCTTAGTGTTTTGTGTATTGCAATATATAAGATATAGTTAACTAACAGAAGACATGATTGCAATGTGTCATTTTTATTTCATTTTGTCATTTACTAGTATCTGAAATCAAATTCGAAAGGTTGAATGGATATTTTGTGTTCATCTGTTTGATCGAGAAAAAGATTTGGGTCTCAGTTCTAAAGCAAAACATTTTTCAAAGGTATCGTTAGGCAGGCAGATGTTATAAGTATTGTTGTAACAAGTATTACCGAGAAAATTGATGACAAAAGACCGCTTTCTTAGTCGACTATTCTTATTTGTAGTTAATTAAAATAGCATCTGTGTTTTCGTTATGCTTACAGCTTCCACGAGTATATGTTCAGATAGATCTAAATTTTTCATCGGATTGATAACTTACTGCCATAAATTCGTTTCGTGAGAAAAAGGTGAATCCCAGTTTGTGTAGTTTTTGAATGTCGTATATTTTTTCTTTCTTTCATATTTGATTGTTGCTTTCATTCTAATTTAAGCATTCTGGGGAAATTCATAAAAAAAAAAAATGAAACCCGTTGAAATTATACCTTGAGGAAGTTGTTTATAGTCGGAACAAGCCTCTACTAATTCGAATTCTGAGTCAAATAAACAATGATACTTTTCAACTGGCGAGCAATTAACTAATTCCGATCTTGCTTGTCTTTCTTCAAATGTACGTGGACAGCGACCACCTCGTGTGCGGTTAACTATCCCGAGGAATTTTGCATTTATTGTTACCAATGGTACCTGCAACAAATAACTTGAATCAGACTTTTGATAAAAAAATTAGATATTGGTGCAAATATGCAAGATTGATAAAATTTGGTATGTTGAATAGCATACTATTTTACTTCGTCACATATTTACATAGTTTTTTATTTTCAGTTGCGAATCAGCTTTCAGAGTTCTCAACTGTACGCGGATAAATTTTCCGTAGATAACATCAACTGTACCAATTTTATTGCACCATGCAGATACGCATTTTGACAACTAATGTCTCGTCAGTGATGCTCAAGGACAAAATAATTGAAAATCCGAAACCAAATACAAACGGTGAAGAGCTGATAAAATTTAATACAAAAAGCATCACCAATATCAAAGTCTTGAAGTTGACCATCTAAAAATTGTCAAACTGAAGAAAAAGAAAATCTAATAATATGAATAAAAGTGGCGAATCAATTTAAAGGAAATAACACAAATTTAATATGTCATACACATAAAAAATAAAGTACTCCTTTTGTAATGACTATACAGGGTTAATGGCAAATATAACTAAAATAAACAAAAATGCATCTGGAGGACAGTGCATGGTCTTCTGCTATCTACACATGTCTCAACAATATGTCAAGTTATGAATCGCTCCTAGTATAGAAAAGTTGTGAATAAATCTAACAGAGATTATTAAAATCCATACTTTTATCAAAATAATATATCCGGTGATATGGTATGATAAAGATTTACCAATAAGAGAAATCGTTAACTGTTCTTATCATATATAACTGCAAAATTATCAATAAGAGAGAAAGAATACTCATTTATTTTTGAAAACATGAGATGAACATGCAATTAAAAAATGTTCTTTCAATGTAAAAATGTGATAACTCCTAGATGATTTACCGTTGAACATTGGAATATGAAATAACTTCATCAAAGAAAATGAACGTTAATAATGTTACTTACAACAAGGAATACAATAAAAACTTCCATCGTTTTGTAATCTTAAAAAGAAAAAAAAGCAGTTATGTTTTTTTTTACTTTACTTTAAGGTTTATAGTGCAATATTAGGTTGATAGACCAAATCGTTTCGTTTTAAACACGGGCAATTTTGCAACCATCAATATAAAACGTTTCTTTGTAGCTCGATGGTGCGATATATTTATGATATATAACACTGACTGTTTTACCTCATATAGTTCTAGTGTTCGACAATTGCAAGTTGGAGGTTTAGCTAGCTATAAAACCATATTTAATCCGTGAATTTCTTCGGAAATTGCCTGTATCAAGTCAGAATATGACTTTTGTTTCCCATTCGTTCAGTTGGCTGATATAGTCGAGCGTTTGATTTTGTCATATTTTAAAGACTTCCCCCTTTTTGAATTTATCCTGGAGTACGGTATTTGTGTTAATAATGTTTTTGCAATTTAATTCCTTTCCTATGTTTATGCTTAAAAACTCATATATCATAGTGGCAGCATAAATGGTTTTTTTTATTGGAGCAGGAATTACTTACATTTGACATTTGACATTCATGCTGAAGGCGAAAAATACAGTTGTTAAATTTGCACTCTTTTATGTGTAATCTTACGTATGAATGTTACAGGAAGACATGTAGTAACGACTAATCACTTGTTTCTATATCTTTATGATATGCATACTACTGTTTCCTACAGGAGGTTTTGTCGTGGTATGACGCCCTGCCCTTTTTATGAAAATAAAAAAAAATTGGCACCATGCCCCTTTTCCATCGTATTTTAGAACGCCCCTAGTCAAGTAAACGAAGAAATCAACAAACCCCTGCGAAGCATAGATAAACAAATGTGTCAAATTTGATATTTACAAAGTTTTTTTTGGATATATTCTGATTTGAGCCAAATCCATGTTGATTTTTCTTCTGTTTAGCGTGTTATGTAAGGTATAAGGGTTCCTACAAGTTGTAGCTACTACGCGTGCCAAGTTTTCTTGTTCGAAATACACTTTGGTTTACTCAATCATTTTCAAGACTACAAATTCGTTTATTTTTAAGACAATAGTGCACACGCTGACTTGTCTCGCCTGCTTTACTGGCCATTGATTTTATGTTGAAAGTCTTAAGGGTAAAGGTTTTACTACAAGTATCTAATAAACTTAATATTTTTAAAGATCTATCACAATGAGGTCAAGGTCAGATAAATCATGTCAGACAGACATGTTGCATGATTTTTTATAATTGATTGTTTTTAGCTTTTAACTAGCTGTCAGTAACTGCGAGTACTCTCAAATCGTACTTTCTTGTTTATTTGACCTGTTAATATTAATTGTAAATGTTTTTTGTTATTTAATATTATTCAGGGTTATATCTGGTCTATATACCAGCTTTTATACGGTCAATGGACAGAAAGTCACAGGACAAAAAGTCACAGGACATAATGTCACAAATTTGATAGGGCAAAAAGTCACGGGACATAATGTCACAAATTTGATAGGACAAAAAGTCACAGGACAAAAAGGCACAAATAATTTGCTGACAATTGTTTGATTATATAAGAGAAAGATCTTTAAATATTTTCTTTTATTACATATATTCATTTTTAAGTTTAGGAAATTGTTCATAAGACTTGATAAATGAAAATTTATTAAATTTTAATCATGCAAACGATATATTTCTTGGCACAATGAAGCCATTTAAGTACCAAGCAACTTTGACAGTTTGTTTTCATAACAATCATTTGATCATTATTGATATTTATTGAATAAATTTTAATTACAAAGTTGCTTCATATATAATAGTTCAAGAAAAAACAAAAATTTAATTTTTGAAATTAGTGTTTTCTTGTTTAAAGAAAAAAAATCTCAAAACTGAATTGTGACTTTTTGTCCTGTGACTTTTTGTCCGTGACTTTTTGTCTGTGACTTTTTGATAAGTGTTTGGTATTGCTATAAATTATCATTTCTTCGTACTATGAACATCAAAAATTATTTATTTTGTAAAAAATATTTCCTTTCTCTATTTGACCTGTACACGTATACATAACAACAAAATTATTTTTATTTACCCGTGTTTAAAGTAATTGCAAATGGCTGATATTTTTGTTCAAGTATATTGTTTAACATTTCACAGCGGTATAATATGTTAATTTAACTATTCTTCCCTTAGTTCATTTATTTTGTATTTGCACTGTATCATAGATCAAATTTATTTGTTCAGTGTATGTTCACTGGTGTTAATATGTCTTTTGATTGAGTTAAGCAATTTCATTTGATATTTATAGTGTGAAGGTTTGGTACCATTAAAACGTTTGAACCCGCTGCAATTGTTTGCACCTGTCCTAAGTCAGGAATCTGATGTTCAGTAGTTGTCGTTTGTTGATGCGGTTCATAAGTGTTTCACGTTTCTCGTTTTTCATATAGATTAGACCGTTGGTTTTCCCGTTTGAATGGTTTTACACTAGAAATTTTTGGGCCCTTTATAGCTTGCTGTTCGGTGTGAGCCAAGGCTCCGTGTTGAAGACCGTACTTTGACCTATACTGAATGGTTTACGTTTGTAAATTTTGACTTGGATTGAGAGTAGTCTCATTGGCACTCATACCACATCTTATTATATCTTTGTACACCTTACAATTATTCCATACATCAAATATAGTTGACTTATTGCTTATGGCAATTGAAAAACAGACAAAAACAGACCAAAACTTAACATTGACCAACGAACCATGAAAATGAGGTCAAGGTAAGATAAATATTGTCAGACAGACATGTACAGCTTACAATCATTCTATACACAAAATATAGTTGACCTATTGCTTATAGTACTTGAAAAACAGACCAAACTCAAAAACACACATATATGAGTCTAGAGATTTGTACAACGATACTAATATAAGATGGTATTATACGAAGATGTTGTTAATAAATCGTGTTGACAAATATTTCGGCTTAACAAATAGCCTTCTTCGGTGTCAATTATTTTAACAATACTGATAATATGTATAAAAATAGCTCAATAATACAGGTAAGTTTTGGTCTATTGATTTAATCCAAAATCCTGAACATCATAATATAAAACAAAACTCAATACTCAAATATACGTGACTGTGTATATTTACAACCCAAAATGAGTGAAAAATAAAACTTAGTATTTTTTATTGATGCCGTTTGAATGATGTACATTTAGTTCCTTTATCCAAAAGCTTTCCCGAACTTGTCGCTGGGCATCACTCCAGTGAATGTTCTGTTCAATCACTAGGATCTTCATGCGGTTAAAGTCATCAAGTTTGTGACCAGACTGTCTGAAATGCTGAGAAACTGGGAGAAGTGGCTTCTTAGAGATATCACTCCTATGGCCATTGAGGCGTTTGTGGAAAGGCTGCTTTGACTCACCAACATATTGGAGGCCACAAACCGAACATTCTAGAATGTAAATAACATTCATACTTTTGCAGTTAACATTGCAAAATATCTTACAGTTATTTTCGGTTGCCTTACTGTGAAAAGTTGATGAGTGATGCATCTGTAGGCAGCATTTGCAGCGTTTTTCATCACACGAACGACATTCTCCAGAAGTACTTCTATTATCAGACACTTCAGCCCGCACCAGCAGGTTACGCAGACTATTGGGTTGCCTAAAAGCTATCATGGGAGGCTCGGGAAAAATCTTGGATAGTTTGGAATTCTTTTCAACTGTTTTCCAATGCTCACGAATGACACCGAAGCTGTTTTTGAGAGATGGGTGGTAAGTAAGAACACATGGAGTCCTTTTATTTTTCTTTTTATATTTGTATTCTAACAGTTAACTCCTTGGAATAGTTTCCGCTTTCTGAAAGCCTTTTTGGATAGTTTTGTGTTTGTAGCCCCTTCTCTTCAAGCGGGTTTCGAGTTGACGTAGTTGTTTTTTAGTTGTTTCTGAGTTGGAACATATTCGCTTGACTCTGAGTGCCTGACTGTACGGGATGCTCTTAGTACAATGAGCAGGATGGCAACTTTTAGGGGACAGATATTGGTGAGTGTCAATAGGCTTAGAATATAGATCAGTGGATATGATGCCATCTGTGAGCGAGCTGGAGGTATCGAGGAAGGTGATTTTGGATTTAGATTTCTCATGAGTAAATTTGATACTTGGATGTATGATGTTGGCATGAGTGATGAATGTATCTAAATCCTCGTCACTTTTATTCCATTTCATATCCACATCATCTATAAATCTAAACCAGTAAAGCGGTTTTTCGATGGAAGATTCAAGGAGTTGTTTTTCTAATTTGCCCATAAATATGTTGGCATATGATGGAGACATTTTGGTGCCCATAGCAGTTCCATTAACTTGCAGATAATGGTCTCCATCAAAAGTGAAGTTGTTGTTTTTGAGTACCAGCGTGAGCATTTTGACCAGGCATTCAGTAGGTGGATATTTCACTGGTCGGGAATTCCAAACTTCTTTACATGCATCAATGCCATCTGCATGTGGAATATTCGTGTAGAGGGAGGTGACGTCCATAGAGACAAGTGTCGTGTCGGAGGGGAGTGGATTTAAGGCCTGCAATTTTCTAAGATAATCGGTAGTATCTTTGATGTGAGATGGTAAGTCCTCAACATGTTGACGAAGATGGAAGTCAACGAATTCCGATATTTTTTCCGTCGGATGACCGTTCGCTGAAACTATAGGTCTTCCTGGGTTATTGGCCTTATGAATTTTAGGTAAAAGATAAAACAACTTAGAGCTATTAAACAAAAACAAATTAGAACTGAACACCACTTATCTAATTTAACCCATTATGTGTATAATGAAAGTATTCCTAACGGACTACAAATCAAGCTTATGCCACAAACACCTGGCAATTTATCCAACACATTACTTCGCAAATGGGATCAAACTCTCTACCATTGTTCCAAGCGGTTAATGGTCCTCCTCAAACAACACTGCGAAGAATATCTAAAAACTCTTACTGGCGAATATAACACCCTTTCAAATAGCTGCAAAAAAGATCTCACATCTGACAATTGTGATGCTATCAGTGCTCGCCTTAA